TCACAAGATAACGGAGTCCCTATTCTAGAAGAGATAAGCAAAGGTGAAACTTATAAAAGATAGTGAAAGAAATCTAATTACTAAAGAGGAGAAACAAAGGTGTGATCGCTTGGGAAGACTCCTGGAGCCGCCACCAACACCTGCAACTGGTACAGAAACACCACCAACAGCCACACAGCCGCTAGTTGACAACAATCCTCCGAAAAAAAACCGAAGTCTTGAATGCCATTAGGCTACTGATAATAAGAAGGACAGAATTCTTCTGGAAGCACTGGAAATGGATCCACAGACCTCAGTGGATATATTGACGCTGCTATTTCAAAATATTTGGAACCGAAAGTATCTACTGATTGGAAGAAAGGCTACCTTGTCAGACTACCAAAAAAGGGAGACTTAAGTATTTAAAAGAACTGCTACGCAATTATCCTCCCGTCACCGACAAGTAACCTATTAGGCTAAAAGATGTCGTGGGTGCAAAACTCAGAGAGAGAATTTCACCAGAAGGTCCTCGGGTTCCAGTCCTGGGGGTGGTGGATGCTTACCGATGAAGAGTCACAAACTAGGACGAAATGACTGTTTAGTACTCCCAGGTTTTCGAATGGTTCTCTATAACCCGATATCCCTACAAACCAACATGTGGAAAGTGGTAATTCATAATAAAAATCGATAAGCTGTTGAAGAATCACAGACTACAACTACTTTGAAACAGAATCTATAACAATGTCTTCTAAGCGTTGAAGTCGATATTTCTTAAATGAACCAAAGTATGTCACTTGGCATCAATTGTTATTTTTTTCTGAGACTATTCCAACACGATAATTTTGGGTTCAGTGATAATGGGAATGGGGCTACGTGGTCCGTATGTAACAAATGAGTCCTACTTGCTACAACAACACATCACTGGAAGCTTACAAAAAGGTGACATGGAATTGAGGTGTTGTCAACACTTGGCTGCTCTACGCATAAGGGTATAAATCAAAGATGCACACCTTACATTTTATGGAAATCGCCTGTTTTATTCAATCTGAAATACCACAATCACCAAGATCTAGGAACAATTTCTTTCGTCCTAATACAATTCTAATCATATTGTGATGAATAATTCTTTTTCCCTACACATGAGATGTAATCAAGCAAATCCGAACGGCAAACAAGTTGTAGTACATACGTGAATATTCATCCCTATGTCGGTCATGATGACAAATCCAAATCACTACCTTATGCAGCGCCAATAAACCTGGATATCTATGAAATAACGAAAACATCCTGACTGACAGATGCACTTGAGATGCTAATGAGTCATTCGATGGTAATATTTTGTTCCTGGATGCTTCATCTAACATTTTGTATGGATTGGTTCGCTGTCATCCTGGTTCCAGATCGAAAAGAATAAAAAAATTCACCGGTTGTTGTGAACCATTAATACTTCTCTGCATGTTTAACTGAATTCTAGCTGCTGTGGTGAGTCTCTTGCAGATTATATTGCTTAAAACATCGTTTAGTGTAAACTAACTAATGCAACACTCAGTTGTTACGCGCATTTTTGACAAATTCGAACAACATTGGTGCCCAGGATTATATCATATAAATTGTTTTAACTTAGGCAAAGTGTGCTTACTGTCAATATTCCATTATCTTCCCTTGTATATATATATATATATATATATATATTTATATATATTAAATATATTATATACACCTTGTGTCAGTGAAAAATTGTAAACATGCTTACTGCATGTGTACATTATTATCATATTGATGATGTCTGTTAACTGGAGTCCCTCATGTGTATTAAGTAAGAGTATATTATTATAAGATTCATTTTATTCAAGTGTTGGTTTGTAGGGATTCGATTGGTTTCAGGATTTCATCATGAGCCGACATTAGTTAGAGAACCATTGGAAAATCTGGGAGTACTGGACAGCTGTTTCGTCCTAGTTTGGGACCCTTCAACAGTACGCACCCACCAGGATTCGAACCCAGCTCGCCTTGTGACCGGAAGGTCCTGCACCCGGTGGGTGCGTACTGCTGAAGAGTCCCAAACTAGGACAAAACAGCTGTCCAGTACTCCCAGATTTTCCAATGGTTCTCTAACTAATGTCAACTCATGATGAAATTCATTTTATTGTTATATTAGGGAATTTACTTCAAGCTTTATTTATTTTCCCAAGTATCTGTAATCCAGTGAACACATACATATTTGGGGATTTTTTGTTAATGCGAAGTCAATATCTCTATATATCTTGATGTGGTCCATTGAATCACTAATTATCAAATTTTTCCCACAAACTAAAGTCGAATACGATAGCAACCATGTAATTTAACCGTAAATCATGCAATTTAAATAATACTTATCCATGCCGTGTGCGTCGATGGCACAGCGGTTAGGACGCTCGCCGACCATGCACATGATCCAGGGTTCGATACCCGGCCACCGACACACTCCTTTACCTCGCTAAACCAGAAGTAATGCTGGTGAAGAGGAAAGGCTGGGCATGAGGCTAGCAACCCCATCCTGTAAAATTAAACATTGCTACAGAAACTTCAAGCCAATAGCTTGAAGCCCTATGTTTCACTGGGGAACGTGAAGGAGAAATTAATAAAATTATTATTATCCATGCCGGTACAATTTGTGTGTCCTACATAGGTAGGAATAAATATGTACCTTATTATATTATCATTACTAACTATGCTTACTAATCGTATGTGTAATTTATCGAATTGATGATGCCTGTAAACTGGAGTCCCTCATGTACAAAAATGAGGATATATTACTATTATTATTATTAAATACCAACAATCCAAAATAGTTTTTTCATACATGTTTGTCCAAGAAAAAGACATTTCGGATTGGTTACGGCGTTATCACATTTAAGCCTTAGGATCAAACTTGGATTAGATTAGAATACCAGTTTAACGAAAAAGGAAGATCTATTCAAAACTAGTCAGTGTTCATGCCACCCGCTATCAGGATAGTCCTCATTAATACATTCTCTTGTATTCACCTTCAATTTCAGAAAAAGCCCCAAAATTTAGAAAAATCACTGGTGAAGCTGAGCGACGGTAGCACAGCGGTGGAATGCTCGCCAACCACGTCATATTTGGTCCGGGGTCAGATTCCCAGCCGATGCACCTCCTGACCTCACTAAGCCATTAATAAGACTAGTAAGGAGGGAAGGTTACGCATGAGGCAAGCAACCCTATCCTATCCCGTAAAATTAAACACCACTGCTACCGCAACCTCAAGCTTCTAGCTTGAAGCCCTATATTTCACTGGAAACGCAAAGGAATAAAAATATTTTTTAGAAAAACTGGCGAAGTTGAATAAATAAGTAAGTAAGTTCCATTAGTTACCTTCACAGTGAATTATCTTTGAATTACTTTAGATTCCAAGTGGAACATCAGACCTAACAACAGCACATCTCCATTCCATCCTGTTTTCTGCAGTCGTCTATAGCTAGCTCTACGTCACCTTCGGACAAATGCAATGCCAAACCCGTCACTTCCCATTCGGAAGGGGAGCGAGAGGGGGGAGGGCTGACGTACAGCGTCACTCAACAGTTTCCTCAGTATCTATCCAATACATCTCCGTTCCCTTAAGTACATTTGTTGGTTTATTTGTCGTCCGTTCGCAGAGTTTCCTGCCACTAATAACTTCCTGGCCCGTCATTTGATCTTCAGTGAGCAGTCGACGAAGGCAACTAGTTATTGATGAAAGTCTAAATCCTGTTCAACATGCTTTTTACTGTGAACCTTCGTGACATGCATGAGTGTTAGAAATTCAGGTCGTATACTTTATGCTTATTATTATTATTAACTGTATAACACACCTTCATTACTGGTGTTGTTAGCTAACATTCTATTATTATTGTTTCCTTTAATTCCTAAAGGAACATAGGGCTTCAGCCGAACGTCTCCATTTCGTTCGGTTCTCTGCTAGAGTTTTCACCTGGCTCCAAGTCTGCCCACATGCTTTCATCTCTTCACATGACCTCCTCCAAGTCACCCTTGCACTGACGACCAACTCACCGCTTCCCTTTCGGGTTCCACTCGAGCAACGGCTTATCTAGTGATGTCACACACTTCATGATTTCCTCAGAGTACGGCCAATCCATCTCCATTTCTTGTTGCCTATTTGTTACACAATCGGTTCCTGCTGGGTTGATTCGCTCATTGTCAAAGATCCCTCCCTGCTGCCAATCTTTTCTGGCTGGCCATCTGATCTTGAGTAGTACTGAGTAAAGGCAGCTGTTAATGAAGGTCTGTAGTTTGTTTGACGTGCTCTTCATGACGCGGCGCGGCGCCAAGTCTCTGATCCGGATAGTAGGTAGCACTGACTGACTTCACATTGGAGTTGAAAATCCCGATCTTATTCTCATTTTCATGCTGAGTGCTGCTGCTGACCTCCACACAGATAAAGAAGCTTCAAGCCTCAGACTTCGAAATAGTTCCAAGTGTCGGTATAGTGTGATTGTTGCTAGCCCCTCATGCACTTCCACAACCTTCCCACCTTTTTTTATCACACTAACTAACAACACCGGGTAAGCAAGACTGTACGACTGCATGACAGCCGGGAATCGTACTGGCGGATCACTGAACCATATTGTTTGTATATATATATATATATATATATATATATATATATATTATGCATTACCTTCCAATAGTTTTTTACAGGCGATTCTGTTAGTGTTATACCTTGCGAAAAACGCAACACATTCCACATCAAGGTGAGTTGTATTGTAAAAACGAAAAAAACAAAAGTCGAATAGTCAATAAACTGAGTATATAAAGGCGTGTTTGTTTTTATTTTAAAATATATATATATTCATAGAATACTCGGTCGAGAAACAACACACTGTGGAAGGACAAAGACTGACAGAGAGAGAAAGAGAGAGTGGAAGGCAGAGAGACAGAGAGAATGAGTGAGTGAGAAAAGGAGAGAAAAAGAAGGAGACCCATATATATATATATATATATATATATATATATATATATATATATATATATATATATATATATAATAAATTACATATTAAAATGGTATACACAAACAAATAAAGGCAGGACCATTTTAGAAAAAATGTACAAAATGTTTTGCTACACAGACACACACACACACATACAAACACACACACATAAAATCACTTCTAAGGATAAAAATGTATTGTCCATTGACGATTAAATAGACATTGCTATTTCTCTTTTCCTCTGTTATTTTTGTTGTTATTGCTGTTGTCGAAAAACAAAAATTAGCGAGGGAAGTTAAAATCCCCCACGCAGAAGACAAAACAAAAACAAAGAAGTCGGTGTATTTATGTGTTTGTGCAAGGTGATGTGACATAATGTCAAAAAGAAATAGTGATGGTGTTTGTGGTTGTGGGTTGGAGTAGGTGTAGGGTTGGCGGTTGGCAGGTCGGATGAAAAAATAATCTTTTATTTTTATTTTTTAAAATTCTGTTGCATTTTTAAAAACGTTCAAGTTAATGGATGCATATAATTTGATGAGGTAATAATTCTAGGATCCTTATCAGATTTTTTAAAATTTTTTAATATAGGATATATATTGTTGAAGGCTTCGTAAATTTCTTCACGAACTTTTGCACCTATTAAAACAGGTAGAGAAAAAGAATTAATAATAATAATAATGGCTTCATCCCCAACAGTACATTTGTCACAGTATGAAATCCACAACAGCTGGTATGATATTCGGCGAAAGTAAAAGCAGTAGACGCAGCAGTCAAAGGATCTTACATCTAACAATAAGGGGGCTCAGCATTACACATTGATACTTAACTGAATTTTTCGATTTTCCCGTCAATTGATTGATTGGACCGAAGTGCTCAGTCTCAGGTTGACATGTCCATTGGCTTCTTGTGCAGATGCTTCGACGATATCTGAGCATGTAATTCGAGATAAATTGATGGATGGTGATTAGCAGTGGAATCCAGGACATCGCGGATTTCGTCCTATTTGGGGCTCGCCAGCCAACAGATGTACTTGCATTCCACAGTGAGTGATGATGTTCAAACCGCCAAGGCTGGAACCCAGGGCTGATAGTTTCAAACGCCAAAACGTTATCCACTAGACCACTTAGGGCCACAAGAAGCCTATATGTCAACCTGAGTCCAAACACTTCGGTCCAATCAGTCGAAGGGAAAATCTAAAATTCAATTAAATAATTAATATGACCAGTTGCATAAGAGGCAGTGGCTCTCGTGGCCCAAGTGGTCTGGTGGATAACGCTTTGGCGTTTGAAACTATGGGCACTGGACTCTAGCCGTCGTCAGTGTACTCTGTACAAGTTCTTGTCAGTAGCACACGTATCTGTCTGTCTGGATTCAACATAGAGCTTGGCATCGAAGTGCAGCAGTTCCAGTTACCACGTTCCAAATAGCACACAAAGGTAGATAAGAATGTGAGTGAAGAGAACCAATAGAGTTTGACAAGTATAAGAGTGAAATAGAATGGGTAATGGTAGAAAGGAATGTTTTGTTTGTTTGTTGTTTTCGACATAGAACTTTGCACAAATGTGCGGAAGTTCAAGTCGCCACATTCCGTGTAGCACGCGAAGCAACAGAAGAAAGTACAAGAAAAGCATAATAGAAACAGTGAGCAGAGGTCTGAGACAAAGGAGTAATAAAGAAATACAAAACAGTTTCATTGAAGATCATAAGTCACAGGGAGTGGATGCATATGCGCTAGCCACTGAGAACGATTTTGAGCCATGTCACCACTTGTTTCCAACCATAGAGTTTTACCGTCCCGAGGACCCCAGCCTGGAAGTCTACACCTTCCTACGTGGCTAAGACCAACTGTTGTGGATTTCATTGACTGATGCCAAGTTTTTGTTTGACCGCCGCTAGATTTTTTCCAGCCTGACTAATCCTATATCCGCTAACATTGCTCGTCGAGGGAGGCGATGGCTTGGCATACGTAACACATGTCCTAACCATCTCAGCCTTTGTAACTTCACGACTTCGTCGATTGATTTCCCCTGTTTACCTAGCACTCGACGCCTAACTTCAATGTTGCTCACCTTATTATATCACTTCACATGGGATGTAGATAGAGCGCAGGCACCTATGATCAAAGACAGCTAGTCTTTTCATGTCTTCCACTCTCAGTGGCCAGGTAGAAAGGAATATGAAAGATTAAAGAGACTGAATACATCTGCGCTAGTCATTGACAACGATTTTGAGCCATGTCACCTATCGTCTTCAGCCATTGATTCCTAGAGTCCCGAAGGCCCCAACCCGGAAGTCTGCATCTCCCTACCTGACTCAGTTTAACTGTCAAAGATTTCATGGATTGATGCGATGCTTTTGTTTGGCCACCACTTACCCTTTTCCAACCTGCACCTATATCAGCTAGTAATGCCCGTCGGGGGAGGCGATGGTTAGGCATGCGCAGCACGTGACCTAGCCATCTCAGTCTATGTAACTTTATAGCCTCGTCGATTGATTTTCCCTCTTTGCCCAACACTCTACGCCTAACGTCAACATTACTTATCTTGTTAAACCACCTAACGTGAGACAGAGATCGCAGACATCTATGATCGAAAGCAGTCAACCTTTTCATGTCTTCAACGCGTATTGGCCATGTTTCAGAGCCATAGAGAAGGACGGAGCGAACTGATGAGCAGTACACACGTCCCTTGGTTGATAACCGGATGTCACGCCTACGCCAGAGATGGTGTAAGTCAGCGAAAGCAGCTCGAGCTTTTCGGATCCGTGCTGAGATTTCATCGCCAATCAGTCCGTTGGTGCTAATACAACTTCCCAAATAGGTGAAGTGGTCAACATGTTCTATCACTTCACTCCCTATCACTAAGTTAGGGGTTGACGTGGTCCAGTCCTGTAGCAGCATCTTACATTTTGTAGGGGCGAATCGCATGCCAAACATACGAAGATTGCTGCTCAAGGTGTTCAGAAGACTCTGCATTTTGTCAGCATCCTCCCCTAACAGGACTATGTCATCTGCATATTCTAAGTCCATAAGACTATTCCCTGGTAACAAGTCGATTCCTAAGTCATTACGTTCAGTTAAGGATACTTCCATTAGCATATCTATGATGAAGTTAAACAGAAATGGGGAAAGTGGACATCCCTGTCGGACACCACTGGTTGTTACCAATTCAGATGACAATTCCCCATAAGCCCTTACACGACTACGTGAGTTTGAATAGAGTGCCTTGATTAGTGCACTCCCCACACAGTCAGACATTGCCATAGTACCTTTCGATCCACGGAGTCGAAGGCCGCCTTCAAGTCAAGAAATATGACAATTGTTGGACGCCGAAAAGTGTGTCTATGTTCTAGAATCTGTCGAAGAGTGAAGATATGATCTATGCACCCTCTACCTGGTCTAAAGCCTGCTTGATTTTCCCTTGTCTGTTCCTCCCGAGTTCTGCTTAGTCTATGCATGATTACTGAGCCTAGGATTTTAGAGACTATGTTCGTTAGGCTGATCCCCCTATGATTATCACACGAGGACTTGTTTCCCTTCTTGAATATCGGTATAATAAGTGACTTACCCCAGTCTGATGGAATTGTCTCTGATTCCCAGACTTTGCCTAGTACCTCAGTTAATCTACAAACTAGTATGTCATCCCCAGTGCGTCGGTGGCACAGTGGTTAGGACTCTCATCGACCATGCACATGGTCCGGGGTTCGATCCACTGCCGACGCACACCTGATATCTATGGTCCGCCTGCGAAATTTGGGCTACCCATATCACATGCTGAAAATTCCATACTTGTACCAAAAATATGGTGTGGAATCAAGCTGTAATCAAAAAAAATATTTAAACACCTCCGGAATAATTCCGTCGGGTCCTGCCGCTTTGCCTCGTTTCAGATTACAGATAGCTTTTGTTACCTCACTTACAGACGGCGGATCAGTGTCTATATTCCATTCGGGTGTGTGCTGGAGGCAAGTTAAATTGTTCCTCAAAGAGTTCTTTCCAGCGTTCAAGGCGTTTATCCTGAGAGCTAATTATGGTGCCATTTTTCTCCGAGATTGTTTCACTTATCATTTGCCTTCTCCCACCCGTTTCCCTGATGAGTCTAAAGAGTTGCCTATCGCTGATGCTTTTTCCATCTCTTTCGCCTTTGTCACCCACCACTGTTCACGGTCCTTGCGGAGACTTTTCGTAAGTTTCCTTTTGTACAGCTTTCGCTCCTTATTGAATTCGGAGGTCGCCGGAATAAGTCTTCTAGCATCTATCAGTTCGGAAGAGGCGGTGGAGATCCAATGGTTTTTACCCACCTTTGGGTTTACCTTATTCACAGCTTTTACAGCTGTATCTATGGCTGCCTGGATATTCTTCCAAGCTTCTTCAGGGTGAGCACAACTGTCGAACACAGATATGTGTTTAGCTAGTTCTTCCTCAAATACGGGTTTAGTTTCCTGATCGAGCTGGGGACGTGATGGTTTTACCGCCAGCTGTTTCCTACGTCCGTTCAGCCGCAAGCACACCCGAGCGCGGACCAGTGCGTGGTCGGTATCTACACACGTGTTCCAGAAGCAGCGACAATCTCCTACTGACCCACGCCAACGATAGCTTATTGCTATGTGGTCTATTTGTGTCCAGCGTTGGTTTGATGAAGGGGGTCTCCAAGTCAAACAGTGTCTCTCCTTGTGTTTGAAGTTAGTGCTTACAAGAAACAAATGATTATCTGAACAGAACTGTAGGAGACGGTCACCGTTGTCGGTTCGCTGGCACGGAACTCCATAGGTGCCACCGACATCCTTCTCAGATTGACACAATTTCCCTACTTGAGCGTTTAGCCTTTCGCACCAAACTAGACAGCTTTTCGTAGAACTCATCCTTCGTTTCATCCGAACTGCAGTCAGTGGGGGCGTAGGCGGAGATTACGAAAAGGCATCGGCGAGTAATGCAGTCGTTTCTCCTTTTTACTGATCCGTTCAGACAGACAGCACACATTCGGCTATCTTTTCTGCCCTAGTACTCAAAGCCATCCCTACGCCAGCTAATCCTTGTGAACTAGCTGTGGCATCTCCTGACACTCTCAAGGTGAATTTTGAAGATTCATCTTGTTTGCCAGGTGGGGTTAGGTGAATAACCACACTTGGGTCTTGTATGTGTGTTTCTGAAACACAACATACATCAATGGCTCGGGATGCCAGAGTCTTGGCTAGTGATGCTTGTTGTCCTATTTGGCAAGGTGTCCTAACATTAAAAGCTCCTATATGAAATTGGTGGCGTGGCTTTAGGAGACTATTGGTGGTGGCTTTTTGGCTTCCGTCGTTTTTAGTGGACACAGAGTGGAGTGAAAGTGAAGAGCTATCAAGCAGAGGAGTTGCATCAGTAGAAGGAAGGCAAGATGATAGAGATGAAGATGATATATATGCATATAATGTGTGTTTGTTTGACAGTCTGTATATTTGCTATGTATATATGGATCGATATTCCATTATATTTAGCCAATCATGTTAAGACTGTCTATTGATTTGTTCATTTTGAATATTCGCTCACACACTTGTTCGGACATTCATTCATATATTTTTGCTCTCACACTCTTGTGTGACATTTTTGGATTCTCCTTGTGTTTGGAAAATAGAAGTATCATCGCAGACCTAGTGGTCTTCTGATTTCTGTCTTTCTTGCGTCAGGACTATTAAATTCTCGACCAGTACATAACAATAATTTGGCGACGAGTACATAACAATTTGGCGACGGGGAAAACTATGGATCCTTCTAAATTCGAATTACTATTTGAACGACAAATGAAATTAATGGAAATGTTCGTCAACCAACAGACTGGTCCAACTTCACCTTCAAGCAATCCCAATCATACCATGCTACCATCTGTCGACGGCATTCCGAATAGTATTTCACAGTTCAATTATAATCCAGATGCTAATGTCACTTTTGACACATGGTATCAACGATATGAGGATTTATTCACAGTTGATCTCGCCTCACAAGACGATGCTTGGAAGGTGCGAGTGTTATTACGTAAATTAGGTCCGGCAGAATATGAAAGGTACTGCAACCTAATTTTACCACAAAAACCACGTGACATATGTTTCGATGATACAATAAAGCTGCTGCGTGAACATTTTGAAGACTACTCCTCATTATTCAGCATACGTTATCGTTTCCTCAAGCTGACAATGAATGAAAATGATGATTTTCTTACTCACGTTGGCACAGTCAACCGAGAATGTGAGAGATTTCGACTCAGGTCCTTAACAGATGATCAATTCAAAGCCTTGATTCTCATATGCAGTCTCCAATCTCCTCGTTTCACAGATATCCGAACTTGACTGCTCAATCAGCTAGAACAAAATCCTAAGTTAACATTACATGACATAGCTGATGAATATCAACGGCTGATTAATTTACAGAAAGACACACACCTGGTCGAATCAACAACTTCGAGAAGCTCTGATATTCATGCATTACGAAAGAGCAAAAATCTCTCATCATCCACTCCTGACCCACCTTCTTCTAATGTTCCGCGTAGATCTACACATACTCGTCCAACTTCTCAAGTTACTGCAAAGAAGACCCCACCATCACCATGCTGGCATTGTGGTGCGTGGCACTTTGTAAAGTCTTGTCCGTACAAAAATCATCGTTGCAGCAAGTGCAAAATTATCGGTCATCTGACTTGACCAACGCTTAATTTCTAGTGATTTATGTTACGTCATCCAACTTATTTGCACAATTTTAGTTCTAATTTAAATGGCATTATTGTCTACCCCACCTCTACTCAGTCTCTACCTGTAATTACATATGTTGCTATCCTGACCTAAGTTGAAACAATTTAGTCAATTGTATTACTAACTCAATGTTACTTTAGTTGCTGTCTGATTAACCTTGTTTCTATATTAGATCATTCTTGTATTGCCTGATTAATTATCTAAACTTGACAAACCTCATGTATGCACACACACACACATACACACAAAAATAGTTGTTCATAAATGCGATTGTACAGCTATAAGAATGAATTCGTCGAAAAGAGTCTCTTCGCTGGACGTTTTCTCTTTTTCATACGACTGAATGAGGATTTTTAAGCTATTTAAATAGATATAAGACAAATTGTGGAGCCGTGTAACTAAAATTGATATGATTATGAATGGCAATAATTATTGCTAGAAACCTTGTTATCCAGTTGCTAATACAGCATTATCACTGGGTGATATTTTAAAATAAACTTAATAAACTTCTAATTTGGAATGCCTTTTCTATTTTATTCAAATATGTATTATTTGTTGTTACTTTTTTGTCTAAACTTGAACTTTCTGTGTATAAATAAATTATACAAGTCTAATTTCTGAGAAGTGCTGATTAATTTTCGTCATACTCAGCTGATGAGAAGTTGACGAAATGAAACAATGGTGTCATCTTATATTCTGAACAAACCATGTTACTACTGGTTTATTCAAATGCAATCAAGTAATACCTGGTACCCGTTACACAAAAATTGTCTCTCTCATTCCAATGGATAATGCTTTGGACTTCAAAATGATAAGTGCAGGATTTCAGTAGCTAGGATTTAAACTACACTCTACTTATCTGCACCGACGAATCCTAAAGCTAACACAGATATCCTACATCTAAAGGCACCATATCATAAACTGATTCTACCTCACCGCTTTTTTTTTCCTCGAGTCCCATGGCTAGTAAACAGCCGGCGGTATAAGAGCCACTGCAATGATATTCGTAGCAAATGCCCAAGCCACTAAAGCTCGTGCCTCAAGATTATCTTCACAGCGTCCAAACACGTTGTTGACAGCCCTAGGTGTTACTTACAAGCAGAAAATAATTCTATGGAGACGGTGATGGTCAAATATTCAGAGTAGCTGTACATCCTCCGCGATAATTTACTGAATACTAAGTATTTCCACTGATATCCCCGTATGGGGAGTATGTTATAACTAACAGCAAGTTGGCACTTCATAGCAGGTGCGAAGTATGTAAGAATCTAATCAAATCACCACTGTTAAGTAACTCAATCGTGCACTGTACTCATAAAGCTGACAGATCTAAGTGTTTCCCTATAATATTAGGAAGGTGACCTGATAGTAAGAGGTTGAAATCAACTAAACGCAGCTTAAACCGGCTTAAATCAGCCTGAGTAAATTAAAACACCAGGCTAAAGTAGAATATCCATATGGTGATGTGATTGGAAAAACTTGAAGGCAGAACTTATCCAACAGATTAAGTTACTTTATAGTACGTTTTGTCACGAACTAACTGATAGGAACCCAGCATAAAATAGTGATTATATCATCCTTTCTCACAAATCGTGTGATTTATCTTGTGATGGAGTTACTATGTTGGTCTATCATTTTTGACGTATAATGTGATTTAGTGTATGAGATTAATTCATCGGTATTTTGTCTCACCGACCAATCAAAATAGACATTTCCAGCCAATAAGAACAGTCCGTTCTCACGGCTGTGTATAAATATCATTTGCTTCTTATACTATGCAGTACAGTACAAAATACAATATCTTACGGTCACAGGCCAGCCTTTGTCTTTTGATATTTGCGTGGCTGAGTGAATCAGAAGGTACAACGGACAAATAGGCGTATTAGAGTACCAATCAAGTTCATAACCGTTATAGTAATTAACAGGCGCAAACATAACAAAGTAGCAACGGATTTACTCAGTTCAGTTTAGCTCAGTTATAACACTAACATCAGTTAGAGACTCAATCAATAGCTGCTACCTTGATGTGGCAGTCGGGCTCGCATATCGCAACTACCCAACAAGTCACACTGCCTGGGACTAATGTTCCTGCAGGTTGTACCATGCCAAGAAGATAGTTAGAATAGCGATTAGACTAAGAGCAGTTACCGGCATACTGTGAGATTTCTTTTATATTATGCTGGGGAACACGGATGTAACAGCAGTAAGGTGTTTCCCTCAGACGACCAGCATGCCAGCCAGCTATGCTGTCTCTCCACTCTGGAGAGAGGAGATTAGAAAAGACAGACCCCAGAAATTGTACATCCCGACTTACCCTACGGTGTTCCGTAGCCGGTGGTAAGTTACTAGTACAAAACCAATAGAAAAAGCTAGTTCGAACAGGTTATATGTGACGGGCCTCAAGCAGTTGTCAGGTGGGCTCTGCAGTCACGCAACACTAAATTCTCTTGCTGTTCCAGGTACCCAAAGAATAAATCAACTCCCAAGATGTGAGCAGCTGGGAAGTAACAACTGCGCAAACACTTCTAAAAACACACGAAGCCCTGTTGATCATATCAGTTAGAGAACCATTGAAAACGAGGGAGCGCTGGACAGCCTTTTCGTCCAACTTTGCGACTCTTCAACCATGTGTATCCACGACCCCACTATAGATTGGACCCAAAACCTATTTCATATTGGTTCATAACGAAATCTATTTTGAATTAATTGACCCAACTATTGAACGGATGGATGTCCTGAGGTTGTGACCAGTAGGGTTCACACTATGTGGAGTACGTAACAATGTGATTGTACACTTTTTGGTTATTTGTAGAAATTAGAGATATTGTACATGATTTTTGTTTAAAACGCTTCTTGTTGAAATATACATAACTTCCGTGTACAATTGAAAAAATACACTCTGCTGTTGGAGACTTCGCCTTCTCCCTGGTTATTTCTGCTTACCTGCTCAACTCTCACCGTGTTGTATACTTCGGATTTATTGTAGGAGTCTACTGCTCTCAACCGAAGACATTTCTACAGCCAGAACACAGCAGCTACAGCAGACGTAACCCAAACAATTAACGTATCCGTGGGTTATATACATAATTTGTAGCAGAGGACTTAAACTTTATATCCAAGTAATCCTTTTTGTTGATATAACTCATCATTGCATTTTTGGTAATATATTGTTATTTAACATTTCATTGACTTGGATTATATTTCTCATATTTGTAATATTAGTGAACTATAATATTAGTCCCCTACAATTATGTCAAGTCCAAAGGGATTCCTCATGGATGATATTGACAGGTTGGCGACAGCCCTATATCACGAATTGACAGAGGTTAGAATTCACGCGTTCTCGAACGAATGATTGAATGGAACAAATAAAACAATATCCGATAAGCAACATAATATAAACTTATAGGTAGATGAAAATATCTAATAGAAACAAGGGATTTAAATACTTTACCTGTTAAGACAATCTTTCCAGAGACAAAGACAAGTAGGACAATTTTTGGTTTAGTCATCCGATAAATCAGACCAGGGAATAGTTCTGGTTCATAGCTAAAAGCAACAAAAAAAATTAATTAAGCGAACAATAATCTTCTGAATAGCCAGTTTTCATTACACATTAAAGGTAATGACTACCAAAATAAAAAGGGATTATATAAATGGGATAAGTATAACCACTAAAGAAGTAAGTTAGAGAGGAAGAGAGAGAGAAACACGAAGCGATATCATCAGTAGTGTGGAGCTGTTCCATCTCACGCAATCATTACTTTGCCTTCAAGGATCGAACCTAGGACCAATATCTGTAAGTTCCAGGTCAAATTTTGATCACAGCTCATACAATTTTGTTTATTATACTTGTTGATACGCGTTTCATGACTCATGGTTGGACTAAGTTTTCAAAAACAAGAGATGTTACTTTTATATATAAACCTCTATGTTATGTTAGAATTGAATTGGTGGATGGTGACTAGCAGTGGAATCCAGGACAAGGCGCATTTCATCCGATATGGGACTCGTCATCTGGATGTACCTGCATTTCCCAGTGAGTGATGATGTTCCCACCGAGGCTCGACGGGAAAATCTAAAATTCAATTAAATCTGTTATGTTAATTTCGATAAATTTCCCTGAAGAAGTTCGAACCAGATTGCCGAACGAGGCGGGGGAATTATTCATTTCAATCTCGGTGAGATTTTACAAATATAATTTTTACAAATGTTTACTAGTGTGGTGAGAGCAGGCTGCTAGCCGATTGGTTGGCACTAATCTACGTTAAGGTCTAGGTCACTAATATGGGCCGTGAGAAAATATGAACAAGCCTGAGTCAACAACCAATCACAGCAAAGTTAACGTGGCAAAATATGATTCGCAGAGAGAACTCTATTTGTCAAGGAATCCCGAAACAACCAATCAGAAGCCTGCGTTTGTCTACCTAAACAACCAATCAGATGACTGCGCTTGTCTATAATAATGTAGTTGAAAGATGTATAAATACGTGTTGATTTTCATAATAAAACGATCTGTTGCCTGGCCCTTGTCTTCTGTTGTTACATTTGGTGTCGCTGCCTACCGACAAATGGAATGCCTATGCCCTGCTGTTTTTGATGGAGACATATGGATCTTCGGGCAGGACTTCAAGGCTTCTGCGCAGTTGAGTGGCGTTCAAGATCTGTCAGCGATGGAGCTGCTACTTGGGACGCTGCTGGGAGGTCGGGTGAAAGCAGCATATGAAAGTGTGAGCCGAAGTATGGACGAATGTTCGACAGGGTCAGGCAAACAGTTTCCAAAGTGGGAAGGACCATATATGGTCACTTCGAGATGGGGTTACGCAGACACAGTCGCAATGGCGAACAATAAGAGGCGCGTGAACGTCAGCGAGCTCCAGAAATGGATACAGCGAGACAAGCCAACGATGACGCCTGCACCAAGTAGATCAAGCCGACTTCAGTCGCACGTATTTGACGGGGGGACGAGTGTGGTGAGAGCAGGCTGCTAGCCGATTGGTTGGCACTAATCTACGTTAAGGTCTAGGTCACTAATATGGGCCGTGAGAAAATATGAACAAGCCTGAGTCAACAACCAATCACAGCAAAGTTAACGTGGCAAAATATGATTCGCAGAGAGAACTCTATTTGTCAAGGAATCCCGAAACAACCAATCAGAAGCCTGCGTTTGTCTACCTAAACAACCAATCAGATGACTGCGCTTGTCTATAATAATGTAGTTGAAAGATGTATAAATACGTGTTGATTTTCATAATAAAACGATCTGTTGCCTGGCCCTTGTCTTCTGTTGTTACACTAGGACCTTTAGGTTACGAGGCAAGTCCGCTGACTATTCATTCAACCACTGGGGAAAGAATCGTACGGTCATCAGTCAGAGAACCAATGAAAATTAAGGAGTAGTAGCTAGAGACCTGTATCATCTACTTAGTTTATGATTTCCCATCACCACCCAGCCATTATTCATACAAGTATAAAACGTTTCGAGCACAAACGATTGCTACTCATAATCATATCATGTCACTCACTTACACACAACTTTCGTGCTTCATTTATTTACATGAGTGGAATTGACGATTAGACATTTGAATAAAAATCAACCAGTCAGATCCTAACATAACATCGATTAGAGAACCACTAAAATGGATACTTTTATACCTGACTTGGCGACCCTCTCCCCCCCCCCAAAAGAAAAATATCAAACTAGGACGAAATATCACTTCATTAGTAGCTGATTATTAATGGTTCACTATCATCTGATGTCAGTTCGTGACACAATTTGAAACCAACCATCAAATGCTGGCAAAGTAACACCTTTTAACGATAAATACTCTCTAATTTAAGAATACCTATAATTTTAACAATGCGTCGGTGGCATAGCGGTTAGGACACTCGCCGACCATGTATGTGGTACAGGGTTCGATCCTCGGCCAATGACGCACTCCTTTACCTCGCTAAGTCAGTAAAGAGGGAAGGTTGGGCATGAGGCGCTAGCAGTTCCATCTCGTTTAAAAAAAATAAACATCACTGCTACCGAAACTTCAAGCCTCTAGCTTGAAGTCCTATATTCCAGTAGGAACGTAATGGAATAAAAGAATAACAGTGAATCATAGGAATTATTAAAAGACGTTTACAACGAAGAAAATTTTCCTTTTCGAAGTCAATGACAAGACTTGTGAATGTGTGAGGAAGTTCTAGAAGAATTTCAGGTCAAAGGTTAAACTAGTAAGGTTACAAAGTGTAATAAATGAGAAGATTGGTAGTAGTAGTAGTAGTAATACTCTAGAAGTATTTCAGGTCAAAGGTCAAATTGATAAGGTTACGCAGTGTAGTAATAAGGCAGATTGGGTAGAAAAGACATAATAAGATTATAATTACTAAAAAAAACTTGATTGTTTGTACAATTATAGATTAAGGATGTAGTGAGTCGGTGGCACAGCGGTTAGGACGCTCGCCGACCATACACATGGTCCGGGGTTCGATCCCCGGCCACTGACGCACTCCTTCACCTCACTAAGCCAGAAATAAAAAGCTGGTAAAGAGTTAAAGGTTGGGCATGAGGTGGCTAGCAACCTCATCCTGTAAAAATTAATACTGCTACAGAAACTTCAAGTCTCTAGCTTTACATAAAAGTGAAAACAGTAACCAAATCTAGCGATGTAGATAGGAATTAAAAACGTAAAAATAACAGAAATAAAAACAGGAACGTTGAACAAGAAAGGCAATTGGATAATCATTATTGGTGGGACTGAATTCTGATGATAGCCATGGTGAGGACAATGGTTGGAAGTATTTCTTTTGAACACATAGCATGGGCATGAGGAGTTTTTGGATCGTCAGTGCCTCACATATTTCTGGATGGCCTTGATTTCACTCCCTTTGGTAGGTTTGATCAGATCCTGTATATGACAGTGAAGGAATTTTCAAATGGAGCTGAATTCACTACCAGAGGGGTTCTGTTACTGTACTATATACACCCTTGCTTTCTCCTTCTGCCAACTATGTTGCATAGTGTTCCCGAGTGCGTTTTACAGGCGGACGCATGGTACGGCTAATGTAATCGGCTCCACACGAGCAAGTGAACTAGTATAAGCATGTTGGAGTGGCCCAATGCAATGGCTTGTCTTTTACGTGCTGGTTGAATAGTTTCCCGCAGGAATATGTTACTCATAACATGGCGGCGAAGTATGTTTTACTGTGAGTTTTCGAAAGCCATCTACGGAGAAGTTCTACTTCGGTATCACCTTTAAATTTGAGGTTTAGTATAAACATCTCTTTTGGGGGGGCGGACGAATTGAACCTTCTCATGCGTTTTCTTTGGTTTTAGATTCTTGTCTATGAATCTGAGTGGAAAACCATTTTCTATCAAGGTCCCTCAGAGATTAAGCAGTTCTTCATCAATCGATTCCTCAGTGCAAATTTTCTGGATCCTTGAGGAAAGAGAGTACATTAGGTATCTCTTTGTGCTTAGAGACACATAACTTTGAAAGTTGATAAACTGTCCGTTCCATGTGGGTTTTTTTGTAGATAAATCTTCTCACTGAATTGTCAGCATTCCTTCGCAGTTGAACATCGAAGAAATGAAACACTGAGTCAGACTCAACTTCCAGAGTCAAGTCGATGTTTGGGTGGCCGTTATTGAAGGTTAGGAGTAGGTTTTTAGGTCAAAATCCTCACCGCATATAATGGAAGTATCATCAATGTATCTCTTGTAAGGGTTAAACTCGTCAATAGTTGGTGATAAGTTGTTTTCTAAGCTAGACATAAAGCAGTCGGTCAAGAGAGGTCCTAGAGGAGAACCCATTGCTACTCCATCTGTTTGCCTGTGTATATTTCGTTGTTGGAACTAAAGTACATGTTGAAGGTGCATCGTAGTAACAGGTTTTTTAGATAATGGATTGGTATACTAAAGCCGATGCTACTGGATTGAATGAAGTAACAAAGGGAGCATATAGTTTTTGTCAATGGAACGTTGGGGAAGAGAGACACGATATCCAAGGAAACCATTTTCTTATCTGCCAGGCTGGCATTCTTAATTCAATCAACAAAATCGGGTGTGTCCCAGAGGTTGTGTCTTGATATCATTTCTTTCGCCGACCCAAGAATCTCTACCAGCCATTTCGCGATTGAGTGGTATGGAGAATCTATCACATTTAGTATTGGGTGGAGTGTGGGACGTCGTCTTGTTTGTGTACTTTAGGTAAGCCATACAGAAGCTGCGTCGTAGAACCTTAGGGAGGCAGGTGTTCGTATAGTTTTGTAATAACAATGGATTCGTCTTCCATTTTCTTCAATATCTTTGTGAGCTGAAGCTCCGTCTATTCAGTGGGATCTTTCTGGGAAGACTGCTTACGAAATTTGCTGTCATCAGATAGTGTCACCGAGAGTTTGCTTAGGTCGTCTGACCTTTTCAGCAGGACGATTCCGGAACCTTCATCTGGTCGTATCATGACTAAGTTTTCATTATCCTCCAATTATTTCAGCTGCTTTCGATGTTATTCAGAAAATATTCCTCGAAAGCTGGATTTTCTTTTCAGTGTAATCGGAGCAGC